TTTGCACCCGGGGGGGGGGGTTTTGAACACACACTATTACATTAAGTAATGTTTCAAATATACTACATCATAATTTTGTAAACTCTTGCTAGCTTTCTTCCAAGAAGCTTCAGTTAACAACTGACTTAACCAATACATGGCAATAAACCTCAATACATACTTAACTCCAAAATAATCTGGAGTTTAATTCCCAATTTATGTACATAATTTTCAGGCAGCCTGAAATACCCTACAGCTGCCACAGAAGAGTTAAAGGTGTACCTGAGATAATAGATACAATTTTAACACCACTTGGATTTCACACTTTTCTGAGAGTTCTCATTATGATTTTGGATACAGCTGTGTTATGCCAGAAATATTTTGCCTATTATTCGTCTAGTAAAATATAAAACGTAAAACGACCTTTCGGAGATGGGGCTCTATCTCCGTCTTCAGTTTCCTACTCAGTTGGGCCCACTAGATAGAGCTAATCCCTATCTCCGGACAAAGTAAAAAAGTGAAAGTCCAGAGATAGGGATTAGCTCTATCTAGTGGGCCCAACTGAGTAGGAAACTGAAGACGGAGATAGAGCCCCATCTCCGAAAGGTCGTTTTACGTTTTATATTTTACTAGACGATGGATAATATCCAAGAAAATTTTTATTCAAAAATATTTTGCCTGCTCACAGTTACAAAATTTTGATGTGATGCCATACATATTGCACAGAATTCAAAAGTAGCAGCACAGATTAATCTTGGAACATGGTACTCGAGTAAGTACAGTAACACATGCCAATGTAATGATACATTGTACATTATTAATCTGCACAGTTTATCTTACCACAAGGAGTTCCAATGTTTGAAGTAGTTTACATTCACAGCTCGTGCTGCCCACGCGTGCACCAAACCATTATCTAAAGCTGAGTCCATACCGTTCCGTCACCTGTGGCGTATGAGTTGATGCAACAGCCAGAAGGAGAGGCACATCATTAGCATCCAAATCCAAGCTTGTAGTGAGCAGTTCCATGTCACAAAACTCTGTCGTCATTAACAGCTCAGCTAGAGCTTGACTACGCAGAAACAGTTCCCTCAATTTGGATTCTAAATGCAGCAAACACTGCAATAGAAATGTGAGATTTGAGGTTTTCATGGTGGAGAAGATGATGGTATCCTTCTGGGTTTTGGCACCATGTAGGTAGATGCCTGGCACCATCTCCCTCTCATCTCTCATCCCTGATTGGCCCACTCCCTCTGCCTTCCCTTCCTCCATCCCTATACAAATAATTCCACTCTGCATCGCCACTTTGCCATGAAGATGGAGACAATCTGTTTCTCTGAAGTGTTGGCATCTACTATCTACACAGTACCAAACTCAGAAGAGGAACATAAGCATTACAATAAAAATTTTGTCAGCCAAAATATTAGAGGCATGCTACAACTCCAAAATAGCAATACTGTACAAAGAATACAAAAAGATATGCATAGGCACTACAAAAAGGTGAGTGGTTAGCATCACACACTGGTCAACTTTATACACGGTACTATCTGAACATGAAAAAGTAGAATCATTAATCCTGGAGCCATTCTGCATGTGGTGGTACAAGAATATTCTGCCAGAAAACAAATCCCACTCTTCCTGCATTTTAACAATTACACCTTGCATTTTAAATCTGGATGTAAAGCCATGTCAAGAAGGCATGTACATAGCATGAATGTAAAGTTCCACAAATTCATAAGGTAGAAGGGCAAGAATCTCCATGTATCAACTTGGAGTTCAACTTTGGTTACAATCTCTGTACCCTGTCACTTTGAGCTACACACTTTTTCCATTACATGCAAGTGCAGTACACTATTCAAAAATTGTGAATAAGAGCAGTACAATTGAATAATTCAACAGTCAAAAATGTTACAGAATCTCTGCCAAGCATGCATGTCTGTGCCTCATTAAAATTGACATCGGGAAACTCACATGTTCAGGAGAAGTCTTTAGCCTCCACAGATAGAGCAGTGATTCTAGCATGTTGGCCACAAGCTGCGACATGCCAACTCGGACTCCCAGAGTTCCTGGTTTATCCACAACATATGTGTGGCTTGAAACCAGCTGAACTTCCCTGAAATTGAATTAAATTGTCAATTCCAATTAACAGCATAAACACTCGAAGTCCTAGGACCAATGATATATGCAAAGCATGATTCATATACCAAATACAAGTACACAAAATAATATGTGTTGAACCTAGCTGACCCTGTAGGTGACATCACATTTTATGAGAAGTGGTATGAAATGGAAAGGTACATATGTTTTATGGACTCGCCATTTATAAAATGACATCCAAATGAAACGTCATCAGAAGTGTCTTCCATATCACCGGATGCACCAATGAATGAAACAAAACTAAACCAATTGTTATGCTATTAAGAGAGTGCATCTGCACAAGCACTACTGGCTGTGGGCAGTTCGTTTATATACAAACTTACTAGGTCACAAGAGGTACAGTTAGAAATAGTTCATATCTGTTATCTCCGTGGATTTATCAATTTAATGCTACTTAATCATCATTATAAGCAAATTCACAATACAAAATATTGCATGATTAATAAAAATCACAAAAAATTCATATATTTTCAATAGTAAGATGACTGTGGGGGAGATGTAGCAACTGCGGAAGAAAGCAAGCATTCCATCATCCATCTGAATTGTTTGTGTGTGATTTAGAAGCAAACTGCTTAACAAAAGGATTCTATAGTCGGTGCAGTAGTTTCTGGCTGGTGGATAGGCCTACTCCGTGTAACTGAGGTGGCAAGGTCAGTGTATTTCTTTTGTCTGGGCGTTCAGTCCGATAAGCTCCTTGGTGCAGTCAGCATTGTACTATCGCACAAATGACTTGCTCCTAGCCTTCCCCTTGAAAATTCCACCGGCCAAAAACTACTGCGCCGACTGTACAAATCTAAGACAGGCCAATATGAAGATATGGGAAAGCATTTCGGTTGTTTCTACAAGAGTAATAACTAACAAATTTTTACCGAGATAAATAATTACAATTTCCTTAAAGTTTTCCACTGGGAAGGGCACAGATGGATAAGTATAATATTTCAAAAAAATGTCTGAACCAATAATGTAGCATACAAACCAGGTGTCAACGTTGGCAATGATGCAGACAGCCTCTGACACTTCTTGATCCCACAGAGGATGGTGTGCAGTGAGTGACAAATCTCGTCTCAGATTTGCTTCCCAACTCTTAGGTAATTGTGTGCAGCCTTGCAAAACCATGTCAGGTATGTAATGATCACTTGTACTGCCCATGAGTGAAGCTGCAAAACCACACATCTGCTTGCCAAGCTTCTCTGCTCTGCATCTGTAATTGTACTTCCATCAACATTCACAGGCATAAAACAAGTATCAGCACATTCTTCCAGAGAGAGGAAGTGGCCAATAGATATTTACAAAATCCCTTCATGGTGTAGAACCAGAAGGTTAATCACATTCACCATGAAATTATGCCATAGGACTGACTCCACACTGATTCAGTTCAAGCTAATTCATATCCTCACAAACTATTGCACTACAACCCAGAAGACAGCCATCTTCAAAGGTTTGGTGCTTAGTTTTGGCTTTACTTGTTGCAAATCTTTTGTATCAAGGTTTCAGTATAGTTTTCAGGCATGTAATAAATGTTAGACTGTACATCCTTGAGTTTGAGAACAGTTCTTGTTATCAGTCCGGAATCACCTGGCATTTGCCAACTAGCTCGAGGACAGAGCGATCACTTGTGTACCTAGCTTCAAGCCATGTGTGTGTATAAATAATATTTAATAGCTGACAAAAAATAATTAAACGTATTTCAGTATATCCTGAACTTGGTGAGACACACTGTGCTTTGGCTTAGGGAAATGAACCATGTATGATGCCAGGGGTATGACTGTGTTATCCAGACTTTTCTCTAACAGGTACTCATCATATGTCAACATGGTTGAAATATTCCAGTGCAACAATCAACTTCTTAGCACAATTTTTTAAAAAAATATTTATAAAGTTAGGGCAATATTTACTCTATAATTCAATACTATCAGTGTCAACATTACCTTAACTGAGAACTTAAAGATTTCCACATATTTACATAACTTTCATAAATGCAACCGACCATGAATTAGAATTTGTTCTGTGCAGCCAAAAGTCCTTTTCAGTATATGTTGTATGCCCAAAAGTCCCAACATTCCACCCATAATTCAAAGAAAATAGTTTACAAATGTACATAAGCTGCATTATAAGCTGGTTTTATATACCACAAATGGTGTAACTGGACTTTCATCATACAGAACACTCCATCATAATTTATAGTCAGTGCAGTAGTTTTTGGCCGGTGGAGAGCTTGTGGAGCTGGGGACGGACCTACTCTGTGTACCTGCGGTGGCAAGGTCAGTGTATTTCTTTTGTTTGGGCTTTCAGTCCGATACGCTCCTCGTCCTTCCTGGAGGAAGACAAAACATTATACTATCGTACAAGTGACTCGCTCCTAGCCTTCCCTTGAAAATTAAACTGGCCAAAAACTACTGCGATCACTATGTCACTGTTCTTCAAAATGGTGAATAATGTGAAAGAGGTCAACCCATAGTCTTCATATTTCATTCATTGATGAGGTGCTAACTTTGCAAAGAAGTATTATTTACAAGTTCAAAATAAAGTCCAGGAACTTCTGTTTCATTGCCATAATTAGAACAGTACTTTTTAAACATAAAGAGCATGAAGTAAAATCTGAAAGAAAAAGTTAATTCCTGTTCACTGGCTTGAGCAGACAGTAAATACATGCATTATTAAGACACTTATGGATCTTCCTCCTGTGATGTGACAAATGTGCAAGTATGTACCTTGGCACTACATCAATAAAAATTAGTTGCTGTCAGGTTTCCATGCAGACCACAGTAGAAGACGCTGAAATACGGGTCCTCTAACATTACCTGTAGTTAAGTTATCAGTATCACGTTAAGGACCGACTGGCAACAAGTTAAATATCTGAAAACTGGTGTAGCTTGATGGAGGGAAAGGATCACGTTTTCACATTGCAGCACACAATTATCATACGCTAAAATCTAGAGGATGTAAAATAGAGCGGGCACATAAAATCTGTGCAGGTAAACAATGTCATATATTGAGCAAGAGTAAAAGCATAAAGATCATTGTACTCTTTCATGAGAATTATGGTAGGCATAATGACACAAACAACAGTTCATTGGCTTATCAAATGAATCAATACCACTCTGAATAGTTCTAGCAGACATTGGTACACACAGTCTCTATCTTTCAGTCTCTGCCTCTCTTTGTCATCACCTAATTTTGACTCAGTTCATTACAACCTCCACCTCAGCCCAAACCATATTTATGATGAAATCACCATTTAAAGTCTGTCTTAGAGACAACAGATTTGAGCACTAAATGGGAAAACTTTAAACCTTAAATTCAACATAGAGATAAGTGGGCTGAACTTTCTGTATACAATCCTTTTGGTGTTTCTTGCCTCTGTTTGTTTGGAAATGGTGAAGTAATAAGTTTTCAAGGTAGAAGCACCACAAAGTGGATTCTTGTTTACACCCAAGGAAAAAGTTGCGATGAATAAAAGTACTGCCAATAATCATGCTGGAATCCTGAAATCATCACATTCATATCCAGGATGTAAAAGGCATGTGGAAAAATATGCACTGGATCAAGCTTGTTTTGAATCATAGAATACTATAGTATTTTTCAGCGTAATTGGCGGCTGAGTCAACTTCTGCTCTTTGCGAGTGACCAATCAACACAAAGAAGGTCTGTTGGTAAGCAGGAGACCTTAATCTGTTCAGAAACCCCGTGGTAGAAGCATCGGCAGCCACACTGCGTTGTTGCCAATTCTTACATGTTCTTTGCGTAGTGTTGTGGAATCCAATGTTCCGCGATGCTACATCTGGCACCACTCTATGTTGTTTCCTCACTATCTCGCCCCTCCACCTCCCACCTCGACTTCCTACCATGGCAAAAGTACATGTGATTGGTGCACGCTTCAGCCGCCAATTCGGCTGAAAACTGCTAGTCATGTGTGGATATGGTAAGGAATCAGAGAAGTTATAGGTGGTATTTTCCCTATACTTGATAGAGACTTTGTACTAACCTTGGCATGGGCAGTTCAAGTAAGGATTCATACTGTTGCTGCTCGGCAGATGTTATTCCATCTTCCTCTATCTTCCTATTGGAGGTACTATCACAGAGAACATCGTCTTCTGATAGGCTGCTATAATTATCAAAGATGGCATTTCCTTCACTTACATAACCATTTTTACAGCATGGATATTTTTGACCCCCCATTACACACATGTCAAGATTGTCACTGATTTTATCTACCACTGATTTATCCATCACGGTTCTGCAACCGATGTTGAAAGTATCCGTGTCTAAACAGCTATAATTCTCACAAACTACAGAACTTTCATGTAAACAAAAATTCCCTCTGGCCTCTGCCACTTTATCTGTCTTCTTGTCTGTTTGATGTAAACTTTTCTTCTGGTCTCTGCCTTCTATATAATTCATCAGAACCCCTTCACAACGCTCAAAATGAAACCGCACACTGTGATAAGCCTTAAGATAACGGCTAATATCACAAACACAATCGCTGTGTCTGCGACAAAGAGGTGATGTGTTCTTTCCTACTTTTTCACCTGATAATGGACTTAGAAGGCTGAGAGATCGTGACACGGGTCTGCTGGTTCTCACATAATTCTCGACGGACAAATCGGTTTTTAATCCACCATGCTCACGTTCAAGTTCTATCACAGATGGACGGACTGTTATGACTCGATAACCACTCTTGCTCGTAGAACAAGTTGTACACTGCTTGGTTCTTTTCTCTCTTCCAGGAACATTTATATTTTCTTCTAGAAAGTCATGTTTCCCTGAACCTACGTTTGTATCTGACTGAAATTTTTTTGCTGAATCAAATTCATGTTCACAAAAGAGAGGAGGGGCATGTAGACTAGAGGTACTCAATACAGATGGATAATCATCACAGGCATCATGATCTAAAGTTTTCTTGTCATTAGACACGGCTTTCTCGATATGCTCACTCTCACATTTATGTGACTGTTTTATATCAATCAACTGTTCATTGTCACCTATCACAAATATTACATCACCTTTTCCTGACCTGTCTTCATCTTCACTAACACTCTTAACACTAATTTTTTCACAAGACACTGTACATGAACCTGACAATAGATTCTCTGAGTTTTCTAAAACTTCACTAGGTTTTGCTTTGAATATAGGAGAAGTTTTAACAGAAGACCTCTGCCGTTCACTCTCCACTCGCTTTGGTAGAAGCACTTCTTCGACTTTACTATCTTTCCCATTATCCTCATTCTGAAGGTGATACAGTATCGCAGAAGTGGGAACACGACACAATCTGCTTACTTTCAAAGAAATATCTTCATGCCGGAATGAGAAATCGCTCTTTACATTATTAAGTTCAACCCTCTCTAAGTCTGCTACGCTAGGTTTATTGTCAGGATGTAAAGGAAACTTGCTGTCTTCAGTTTCATCATCGATCTGTAAATCTGCTAGACTTGGATACAGCCGACCTGTTCCCGCACAGGATTTTGGATCTGAGTTCTCAAGTTCTATTGCACTGATAGTATTGTCTAGCCTCTTCATGAAACTGGGAGTTCGCCTCATACCGCCTCCTGGTGGAACTAATAAATGACCATCCTTCCTAACGTACCCGACACTCGATTGATCTAACGGAACAGATTTTTGGGCACTGGAAAAATCACGTTCTTTACTGTCACAAATGTTGTGAACTGAATAACAGTCACCTTTAATAACTTTAGAAGGCAACGGACTAGACGTCATTCTCATATTATTACTGCATTTATCTGGGAATGGACAAAAACTATTTTCAGCTTGAAGTTCCCTACCTATCTCAACCCCATGATCAACCCTGTTATCAAACACTGTCATTACATCATGACTTGAAAGAAAACGTCTTGTGAACGATGAATGAGAAGGCTGTGGATCTTCGTTGAGTAAAGTAGTTCTGGATGAACTGTTGGACTGACAACTTGTAGCTGCACTCAGATCACCAAATTGCTCCTCTGTGGAGTCTTGACTTTCAACAACAACTCGTTTCTCTACCTCACTGCAGCGAATAAAGTATGTTAATGAACTCAAAATTCTATTCAGAAGCTCCACTTTCTTAGCACCAGATGTGACGACTGTTTTTGCAATCTTCAGTGGGTAACCCAATGCACCATACAATTCTCCAAGTTGGGCCCACAAAGGGTTGTAAGGGTGTGATTTTGACAATGCATCCAACTGAAAAAAAAAGAAGCAATTTACAATAAAAACTAGGTCCTTTCATAACAGTCCATCTGCGTAAAAATTGCAACATATAAGAAAGAACAAATAAGTTAGTAAAGTAAAGCCACACAATTACGACTGAAGAAATTCTAATATGCAACTTACTCCTCTGAAAATAACATATCAGTACTGCAGAACAAATTATTTTACGACAAATTTTAGGCCAAGAATTTAATTTTACTTTCTTACACCTCTTTTATCTTCTCATATTTTTTTATTTCTTCATCACGAAGTTCCCTTATCTGTCCACTACATATATATATATAAAATCATTTTAAGAAACAAAGGTGCTGGTATTGCAATGTGATGAAGTGGGAAATTTCTTTCTTCATGAAGAATGAATGAATAAACCAATGGTAAATTCAAAAACTGTATCTTACTGTGAGGGCTTGACAAATAAACATGGTACCCCATTTACAAGAGGCAAGTTGATTTTGCAGACACATAACCAGAAATTCACATTTTTTAAATTAATGAGCTTTGCTTCAACTTTAATATTTCACTGATGTTAATATGTTCGCAGTATTCTTCCAAGTACTGTTTCTTAGAACGTCAGAATGATCACATAAAATACAGCAAACATTATTTAAATGTGAACACAGAGATAAGAAAAGAATATTACAATACTTAATAAAATAATCAATGTGATTCAAACTTTGGTACTGTGATGTTATTGACTATCTTATGTGGAGATCCAACTTCTAAGAACAATGCATTAAATTATATTTACCTTCATATTTGTTGTACATTAACAACTGGATTCTAAAATAAAGCAATTATATTTCAAAGCCATTGTGGTCGGAAATGAAATTTGTAATGTGGCAACAAGTACATAAAATAATTTTCAAATCTGTTTATTTCACCTTCAGTTATTTTTGCATTTAGAATAATTCGTATTTGTTTCTGTTTTATAAAAATTAAGAGGATTATTTGGTGGATATGCCAATGCACAGCCTTTCTATAATGTCTAAGTATTAATACTACGTCAGTTACCCCATTCCTATGTGGTCAGCTATGTTTGTTTGCTTTAACAGAAGACCTCTGCCGTTCACTCTCCACTCGCTTTGGTAGAAGCACTTCTTCGACTTTACTATCTTTCCCATTATCCTCATTCTGAAGGTGATACAGTATCGCAGAAGTGGGAACACGACACAATCTGCTTACTTTCAAAGAAATATCTTCATGCCGGAATGAGAAATCGCTCTTTACATTATTAAGTTCAACCCTCTCTAAGTCTGCTACGCTAGGTTTATTGTCAGGATGTAAAGGAAACTTGCTGTCTTCAGTTTCATCATCGATCTGTAAATCTGCTAGACTTGGATACAGCCGACCTGTTCCCGCACAGGATTTTGGATCTGAGTTCTCAAGTTCTATTGCACTGATAGTATTGTCTAGCCTCTTCATGAAACTGGGAGTTCGCCTCATACCGCCTCCTGGTGGAACTAATAAATGACCATCCTTCCTAACGTACCCGACACTCGATTGATCTAACGGAACAGATTTTTGGGCACTGGAAAAATCACGTTCTTTACTGTCACAAATGTTGTGAACTGAATAACAGTCACCTTTAATAACTTTAGAAGGCAACGGACTAGACGTCATTCTCATATTATTACTGCATTTATCTGGGAATGGACAAAAACTATTTTCAGCTTGAAGTTCCCTACCTATCTCAACCCCATGATCAACCCTGTTATCAAACACTGTCATTACATCATGACTTGAAAGAAAACGTCTTGTGAACGATGAATGAGAAGGCTGTGGATCTTCGTTGAGTAAAGTAGTTCTGGATGAACTGTTGGACTGACAACTTGTAGCTGCACTCAGATCACCAAATTGCTCCTCTGTGGAGTCTTGACTTTCAACAACAACTCGTTTCTCTACCTCACTGCAGCGAATAAAGTATGTTAATGAACTCAAAATTCTATTCAGAAGCTCCACTTTCTTAGCACCAGATGTGACGACTGTTTTTGCAATCTTCAGTGGGTAACCCAATGCACCATACAATTCTCCAAGTTGGGCCCACAAAGGGTTGTAAGGGTGTGATTTTGACAATGCATCCAACTGAAAAAAAAAGAAGCAATTTACAATAAAAACTAGGTCCTTTCATAACAGTCCATCTGCGTAAAAATTGCAACATATAAGAAAGAACAAATAAGTTAGTAAAGTAAAGCCACACAATTACGACTGAAGAAATTCTAATATGCAACTTACTCCTCTGAAAATAACATATCAGTACTGCAGAACAAATTATTTTACGACAAATTTTAGGCCAAGAATTTAATTTTACTTTCTTACACCTCTTTTATCTTCTCATATTTTTTTATTTCTTCATCACGAAGTTCCCTTATCTGTCCACTACATATATATATATAAAATCATTTTAAGAAACAAAGGTGCTGGTATTGCAATGTGATGAAGTGGGAAATTTCTTTCTTCATGAAGAATGAATGAATAAACCAATGGTAAATTCAAAAACTGTATCTTACTGTGAGGGCTTGACAAATAAACATGGTACCCCATTTACAAGAGGCAAGTTGATTTTGCAGACACATAACCAGAAATTCACATTTTTTAAATTAATGAGCTTTGCTTCAACTTTAATATTTCACTGATGTTAATATGTTCGCAGTATTCTTCCAAGTACTGTTTCTTAGAACGTCAGAATGATCACATAAAATACAGCAAACATTATTTAAATGTGAACACAGAGATAAGAAAAGAATATTACAATACTTAATAAAATAATCAATGTGATTCAAACTTTGGTACTGTGATGTTATTGACTATCTTATGTGGAGATCCAACTTCTAAGAACAATGCATTAAATTATATTTACCTTCATATTTGTTGTACATTAACAACTGGATTCTAAAATAAAGCAATTATATTTCAAAGCCATTGTGGTCGGAAATGAAATTTGTAATGTGGCAACAAGTACATAAAATAATTTTCAAATCTGTTTATTTCACCTTCAGTTATTTTTGCATTTAGAATAATTCGTATTTGTTTCTGTTTTATAAAAATTAAGAGGATTATTTGGTGGATATGCCAATGCACAGCCTTTCTATAATGTCTAAGTATTAATACTACGTCAGTTACCCCATTCCTATGTGGTCAGCTATGTTTGTTTGCGGTTTATTTAACGACGCTTTTTCAGTAGCTCAGACTATACAGCATAAAATGAGAGGATGATAATAAACTGGAAAGAACATGGAAGGAAGCGGGCATGGCCTAATTTAAGGTACTATCCTGGAATTTGCCTGGAAGGACTGAGGAAAACCACAAAAAACCCAGTCAGGATAGCCAGTCTCCAGGCCAAGATTTGAACCTGGGACCTACTGAATATGAAGCAGGAGTGTTAACCACTTTACCACGATGTTCGATGGTCAGCTACAGAGGCAGTGAGACTGCAACATGATCATATGAATTCTGGTTCATTAACTTCATTTTCTAAAATATTTAACCCAAGAAAAAATCATATAAAGTAATATTGGAAGAATGAGGTGGACACAAATCACAACTTATCCTTTCACCAAACACACACTTTCAGGTTTGCATGGAAAGTTTAGCAACACGCATATTTGCAGAATCTTGTTGGACATTATAATGCTAACAATCCTAATCAAATTCATGGTGCACCAAACACCATATTCTTGTTTATGTAAAAAGATTCTTCCACGTTAACAAAACACTGTAACGCATGCAGATATATCAAGGGGGGCTACTTCCTCTTACCACTATTGCTGACTCATCAAGGTAAATGACACAGAAAACAAGAGTAGGAACAGCAACAACTGATGTAGAGATCATGAGTGTGCGTGAGTATAAAAACCGTGCCTTGGATCACCCATCAAATGATCCATCTGTATGACATATCATGTGTTGCATTCAACTTCTCTAACTTACAATTACAGTAAGTATACTCCATACTGGAATACACATAATATCCTCATGTGTTCTTTACATTGTGCATTTAAAGGTATTAAAAGTCTCTTGTTTAATAGTTTCCATTTTAGCCACCAGATTGCAGCACCACAATATCTACCTCACGACTTTCCTTATCTGTCATTTTGTTATCACTGCTCATAGGATATTCAAAATATGATTTCGTGTAGAGTAGCACAACCTCCAAATCACATATCATCCAAATCCATCCAGTGGTTCTCCAGTTGAATTGCCTGGACAGACAGACATGACCAGCCCAAAATGCATTCTCACTATGCACTTTGTGCAAATAATGCATACAAAACAGTGTATTTATGCATCAATATTTTAGATATATAAGTGACAGGTTCTCTAGATTTATTTCAGTATGAGTTTAAGCTAAAAACAGTGAGGTTCTACTGTTCCAGCAAATTAATATTTATAATAAGGTTGGGTCCCCTGTTTCTCAAGTGCATGCCAAGACAGTACATTGAACCACTGAAAAGAGATGACTGAATCCTGTCGTACATACTTCACCATTCATAACATCCACAACTCATTAAGAGATGCGTATACCTGCAGTTGATAAGAGCACTGTTAAATAATAAACCAATCAATACGTTCAGAACAACCTGAAGTTAAAGATTATGTAATGACTATGGTGGGACAAATGTGAATATCTACAGAAGTGCTATCAAAACTTCAGAGATTAGAATGTGCACTTACCAGCTGCCCAGTGCAGGGTTTCTTCGTGATTTGATGAGGGGCCATCTTTCCAGGAAAAACAGTGGCAACCCAGCCCAAATGATATGTCAACACAGCTGTCACCAGAGTGCTTACAAAACTGAAAATAAAATGGGCAGAAGTCCAGTTATTCCAATCATGGTGTTTAGAAAAAACTTGTTACACAGCTTACATATATTCATAAGCTACGTGAAGCAAATTATGGGTAAAATGTATGTTGGACTAGCAAGGAAGCAAGCAAATAGTGTACAGAAATTTTCCATGCGCAGAACAGATCCTAATATGCAGTTGGTTGTAAATGTAAGAGGTTGTTTGTAAAATGTAAACTTTTGCATATGCGAGTTTGTTCTTATGCAATTTCATGACTAATTTAACCTCTGCGGAGGTACCGGGGTTATTTTTACTACGCGATTTTCTATACGGCGGCGTCTTACATGAAAGCAACTATCGCATAACAGCAGAGATGACTGTACACATCAATCACATGAAAGAATCGCAGTCAATCGCGGGGACCAACGGATTGCCGATTGTAAGTGTATAAAATATTTTTTTTAAATTCCCTTTATTTTATTTACGTTATTTCAGAGCTTTAAATGTAATGCCATTACATTACTCGTCAATGTTTGGGTGCTGGGAACGCATGTCATTGACTTCCCATTGATTTACATTATAAAAGAGTTTCAATTTACGCCGGTTCATCCAAGAACGCATCCCGGGCGTAAATCGAGGGCTACCTGTACGTACACAAATAAAAAATAAAGTGGCAGCACAGATTATCCATGTCATTTTTTGTTTCTACCTTTAAAGAACTGTCTAATATTCCCCCCCCCAAAAAAAAAACCCACAACAACAACAAAAAGCTTCCCAAGAACACTGCTGATACTCCAGTTAAGGAGACTGGTACATCCTCTCCACATGCTATTTGTTCTACAACTAAGAATACATTCGCTTCAATGCTGTATTTATGGCAAAATACTTCGTTTGAAATATACTTTTCTACTGGCTACAACTTACAAGTTGGTAGCCTTGGTATCAATGTTTGCAATGAGATGGCAGAAGTCTTGCAGGAAGTTGTATGACAGGGATGAGCTGAGATGGTTCAAGCCAGATGTAAGACCCAACCAAACCGGGAAAGTCAATCGAGATGCCGAAAACACATCAAACAACCACTAGATAAATGAAACAAATGTTACATGTTATCACAAGGCTCATTTTAATAAATATGAACACACAACTATCACCCAAAACATTTTACAACAATGCATAGGAAACCAACACCAGGCAGGTAATTTGAATATATCTTCTTTTAATGGTAAATTAAAATCTCAGCACAATGAAGTTTCAGAATAACGAAAATAATGTTCATCCCCATACTAAAGTACCATATACTATTATTGGAAAATATCTCAAAACAACAAATACTGGTATAACAAAATTTCAGTGTAATGCACTAAAACCCTATCTCGGCTCAGAAGAAGAGATTGTTCAGTTTGACAATTTTTTGAGAATAGAATTGGAAAACACTGCTGTTTCTTTGCAGTAATATGTTACAGCTAGTTTGATGGGACATGAGATATGGCCATGAGTTGTGCAGTACTCACTTGAGTTGAGAATAACTCAAGGCTCATGTCCTAAAAAATTTGTAAACTTGTACTAGATGTCACACACACATATACAGTGTGTCCGTAAAATAATGGTGGGGTAACAAACAGTCATAGTTTTGGAACAAAGCATGATATAGACATTAAATAAACGTCAAAATAAAGAGAAACTCTCCAAGAATCTTACCTGTTCAGTAGATTTTGATATGCGCTCCTTTAGTTGCCCTGCAGACATCAAGACAATATTCAAGCTCTTGCCATACACGACCGAGAATTTTTAGACAAGTTTATGTTCAGTGATGAGGCTATGTTTCATGTTTCAGGACGAGTCCATCGGCATAATGTTAGAATATGGGGTAATGAACCTCCATATGTTATTATGGAACATCAACATGATAGCCCGAAAGTTAATGTGTGGTGCGCAATTGGACAAGACAGAGTCATTGGCCCCTTCTTTTTTGCTGAACAAACTGTGACGGGAAAGAACTTCCTGGATATGTTAGAAGGGTATGCAGTGCCCCAAATACCGGAGAATTTCATTCTCCAGTTAGATGGACAACCTCCACATTTTGTCACATTCGTGCGGGATTACCTAAACCAAACATTTCCTCAGCGATGTGTCGGACGAGGATGGAGAATAGCCTGGCCTCCACGCTCTCCAGATCTTACCCCTATGGATTTTTATTTGTGGGGTTATGTGAAGCAACAAGTGTTCTCTGTCCAAATAATAAATTTGGACCATTTGAAAGAACGGATCACTGAAGCTGTTTCATCTATCACACTGGATGTTCTTGATCGTGTATGGCAAGAGCTTGAATATCGTCTTGATGTCTGCAGGGCAACTAAAGGAGCGCATATCGAAATCTACTGAACAGGTAAGATTCTTGGAGAGTTTCTCTTTATTTTGACGTTTATTTAATGTCTCTATCGTGCTTTGTTCCAAAACTATGACTGTTTGTTACCCCACCATTATTTTACGGACACACTGTACACACCTCTACATGTATTAGATGTCAGTAAATTACAAGACAAAAATATTGCTTGCTCAAAACAAAACACATCATAAAACATTTCAAATTCCTCTAGTACACAGTGTGGGGCAGAATAAAATAACCACAGATGACAACACTGCATCAATTTTGGACCGGGCAGATAAAAATCTTTCAGAAGCAAAATTCTGTGACAGTCAAAAAATAAAACGGGTAATAATCTGAATGCAAAAGCAGCACATGATACAGTGAACAAAGTGAGAGGAAAGTAGATCCAATTGTCAGTAGGTGGCACACTGTGAAATTGGAAATGATCATTTGCCAAGCTCCTGTGTGTCTTACAATGGCATGATGTCCACATCAAATATCACCTAAATACTTAGTGTATGCATGCTACTGCAAAGAATGAATAAAAACCATTATCATATGCGAACAGAGAATTTAAACCCTGTACTACGGGGCTACCAGACAGATTTTAGCTTTGTGGTTAAATGGTTTGCCAGTATACCACTGACACAGCCAAATGGATGGGATGAAAGCCTTGACACATGGCGGACAAAGGACAATTTAAATAATCATGCAAGTGTTAGACCATTCTTGTTGACATCATAATAGCAAAGCATATAAATGCTTTTTGCTTGTAAATACCATTACCACTTATTTACCAAAAATGCACTGATCTTTGGAAAATAATAAATTTTAACTTTTAAATTTGTTTTATGGGGTCCGCAGTGGCCGCGCGGTCTGAGGCGTGGGCCTTGTGCTGCTTGGTCGCAGGGACCGTGGGTTTGAATCCCACTCAAGCCATGGATGTCTGTCCGCATTTTTCTGTGTTGTGCTGTCCTGTGTACAGGTACAGCCTCGCGACGGGCCGATCCCTCATGCAAGGAGTCCTACCGAATGTCCATAGATCAAGCCAACTAAAAAGTTGGGGACCCGTAAAAGGGTATTGGAAAATGTATAAAAATTGTTAAACCGGAAAAAGAAGAAGAAATTTGTTTTTATTGCTTTTAATTACAATGACAATATGGTGTAAGTAAAACTTCATAATCAACCATGATACCGAAAGTCTCACCATTACAGATATTGGGAAAACAGTTTAGGGAAATTGGATTTGGGGGAAAAGTGCAGCTTAAACTCAAGTAAATATGGTATGTTGTCTTCAGAGGATCCCAGCAGATTTTTCTACTCACAGATTAAAGCCTTCATCTCTGTCAAAGACAAAACTTTGCTAATGCAAAGAACATCATTCCCCTATCATGGGTTTCAAGTCAATGTTAATATACACGTTCTCTATGCTGAAAACCATTCTCACACATTATGCTATCTCTGAAAGTAACATAATCCACCCTACGGGTGCTCCTACATTACAAATGGATGCTGCCCACTAACCTAGGTATGCAGAGGTCAGGAAGGTCATCAGAGACCATACCTGGAGGTATCTGATCATCCCCCCATAAAAAATGATAACGTGGCACAATAGTCCAAATGGCACTCTATTTAATTTTTGGATGAATTTAACTTCTGCCCCTGTGTACGGAGGGCCCAATAGTGTAGTTCCCTACCTGCTGCATGTCCTCGGATCCCTCCATCATGAGATGCACAAACATCTCCTTGTGCAGGTAGGCGTGCTCCACACAGCTGTGAAGTCTTTCGATCATTCCTTCCACCACGGTCATATGTTCGAAGAAAAACAAGTGCATTTCTCTGGAAAAATAAAGAAATATGTACAGACAATCCCTGCTCTTATGAAGAGTTACATTCTTGGGGAACGTGCTAATTCCCACAAGCAGAATGTTGTAATTGAGGGTTATATTCTAGAATGAATGAATAATTACACAAAAAATTACTGCCTGACAAAACATACAGTCAACACTCAATACGGTATAAACCACAAAATTGTTAAAAAATCAGCAAAATATTTCACAACATGCACACCAAAGCAGAGTGTAAGGTAAACTGACTCGCGTGCTTTCCGTGGTTTCACTGACTGGGTGATGCATCCTATGCATTTTCAATACTACATGTTTGATTTTGTTTGGAAGATTTTGGATGAGTTCACATTCAGACGGGCCACGCAGAGCGGTAAAATTTCATAATGTGAATCTTCATAAAGCAAGGACTGACTGTACAGCTATGAACTTTATGGGATGCTAGATGTTTGGAATACTAAACTTGATATAAAATTGTAACCCCACATTTTGAAGTAATTTTCATTGCCATCTGAAACAACTGAGACATTTTCATACCATTCATTTGAGCAATTATTTTATAATACAAAGGTACAAAATGTAAAGTACTTAATTCTTAGTTACTACAACTCATGACCAAGTAATTTTTTTATCTGTAAACACTGATTGAAACATTGTTAAAAATTATTTTTGCATAAAAATTACACCATAATATTATGCTTAGAAATGACAAAAATGTACATGTGGAAACAAACTTTATGTATTTGTACATACAAAAATCGAATGTAAATTTTGCAGGACATGTTAATGTTATATAAATGTGTAATTATGTTTACTAAAATTTAATTTGCACTTACTTTTCTTCCTCTGGTGTAAGATTAATCACTACAGCAAGCCCAAGTTTTGTTCTACGGTGCCCTGATTGACTAGTATCATTAGGAAGGTCATTCATTGTGCTTCTAGATGACAAGGGAGAACAATGCAAGCCAAGCTCCAAGGAGGTGCTCATGTTCCTCAGCCATCGCCGCTGAAGGCTTGACAGACTGCCACCAGAGGGACATGACACTGGATTGTTGTAGAATGAGCCAGAACCTGCACATGTACCATTCATACATTTAATTTAGTCTATTTTCCTTATTTCCTTACTCTGTTTGCTTTGTACTTTATTTTATGGCCATAAAATTTTCAATAAAATGCTAAATAATGCAGAATTAAACACTAGCTGTGTAGATATGTGCAAACGTGACATAAAAGATGTTTGTGGAATGAAGAGAATTTTCTGTGCCATTAACTATATTCTTATAGGATTTGAGACTTTCATGGCGAGTACAATCAATAAAATCTTCTCAGGCTATTTTGGCAAAATGCCAGGTAGAAAGCAGAGCCAAACAAACCGAGCGCTTGACTCCGCCCCCTAGCTCCATGGGCCTGGGTCCGGACATGAGTACTGGTCCCGGGCAGGTATATCACAGGCGACTTTTGAGGTATCCAGTCACATCAGAACTCTATCCCGAGTTGGTTCCCGAAATGTCAGTTTACTACAGTAACCAGTAGGCGCGGCTGATTGCCCAAGAAGATTTTATTAACTATATTTTTATTTTGAAGGCTCTAAATTTAGATAATTTTCAGTGCCATTAACTACTTTTTTATTTAGAAGGTTCAAAATTTAGTAGGTCAACTTAGTTTCAGAGAATTCTTACTTTATATTTGCATAAACTCTGGTTTCAACAAAGGAGTCAATAAATTCATCAAATTTCAGAACTCCACATATCAACAGTAAATATGTAGTGTTACCTTCTGGTCTGTGAAGCCATTTAGGAATGTATCAACTCCATCTTCAGTTTAGAAGATTACGGTAACACATTTCTTCTAAATGTTTGTAACCACCTACAAGACTACATGTGTCACAACCCATAAGATTGAAATATATGAACATACTCAAATGCTGAGTTGTCAGGTTTGTATGCTATGCCACCATAGCATGAAATGCAAAATATCTGAGTTGAACATACAAATACAAAAGAACTAATGTGGCTTTGTAGATCAGGAAAACTGTATAGCCAATAGATTTTAATGCCTTATAGATGACAATTGCTCACTACAGTCATGAGATCTCTGAAGTTACATAAATTTATTCTTTAGCTTGCTTGCTTTCAAAAAAGCTGTAACTGAAGAACCTGATGTAAGATTTTAAAGTTTTCACGTCTTCTGGGTTATTACGCCATATAGTCTGGTACAAGTTTACCGAAGTTTCAGAGGTCCTTGCTGCCTCCATCATCGGGGCCTCTGAAATATCGGTAAACGTCCACCAGACAAACAGTGCAACCCAGAAGACAGCCATCATCTGAAGAAGCTGTTCCTGTCACCTAGCGGCAATTAAAGTCCATTCACATTTTTACAGAAAATGAGCTGTGCTATACTTTTATTACAGTGGTAAACATTAGGGCATATACAATTATCCGTACTCCGTCTGGAATCTGAACTGGAAGTGTAAGTCCCAATTCCACATGATGAATAGCCGCCAGACCCCACGCTACTTGTTGACTTCAGGGAAGCATCTCCACAGAAACCGCTGTCCACCTCTAAACTGTTGTAATGATGCTTCGTCTTCAGCTCAATATCCAGGGGACCACTCCCAACGCTCGCTAAAAAGAAAAGTGGTTTACACAGTCTCATGTGGAATTTTGTAATCGACAGAGGTTACAATTAAGCATAATAACTCACCTTGCCTTGTATCTGAGCAGCTGCCTTGAGAAACAAAGTATTCACTCATTGAGTTGATTGAGCTGCCACAAGAATCTTCCAGGCTGCGGTCACTGTAACATATTAAATGTCTGTATAGAGACAACCTATATTTGTATTTAGTACTGTCAAGGTGGTCAATGGACTCAACATATAGCTTGCATGGGGAAAATGAGAAATGTATACAGAATTTTACTGAAAAATCTCTTGTCATACCAGAAAAAGTAGGGAAATAAATCATGACATTATGAAGAATAATTCAACTAACTCAATACAGTCTAAAGGTAGGTTTTGGTGTTGGGGTAATTTCATCCTCTGTGTTGTATTACCAGAGATATCAGCCTCTCTACACTGAAAAGAAAATACTATATTTCAGAAACAAAGCAATAAATGCAGTACATTAATATGTGAACACAACATGTCGCTCAAGAAAGTGTACATTAAGTAAAAATAGCAGTCTCATTACTGGCTTAATCTTGGATCTGAAATATTTTTTGATCTGCTCAATATTTACTGAAAAATATCTAAAAATGTATTTAATCCTTCTGATCCAATTTAGGCAAAAGCTGAATTTAGTTAGTACACTTTATTAATATGTACCACATCCAATCAAAATCCACTTATCCAGAGCAGATATGTCACATGTGAACAGATGTACAGGGCGAAGCTAACAGATGCTCATGCACTGTTTCTGAAACATGCCCAAAAATAGGCAGTAATGAAAGGCTACAAAATATGAAAATCTTAGATATCCTCCACTGGGATAGCAGGCAACTCCACTGACCTAAATTTTACACATACTATAAAATAAACACAGGTGAAAATGACCCAAGTTCAAACACTTCTAAACAAAATATAGTACTTTAGCGATGACACACTCATCTGCCACTGCTGATTACACGAGTTACATCCAGTGAGAGATGTTGCTGACTGTAAAGTAGTACTTTTATACTGTTATACACTTAGTATACAATGCAGATTACAAGATCAACTACATGAATTCTTAATCATATAGCCAATGGTTTCTCCATGTGGTTTGGTGCTCACACGGGAATGTAGGTCCATTCTGACAACCTCCATCACAAAATCTCTATCAGTCATTATTTCAGTGCAATAGACGTTACTTATTAGATGCTCCCAGTTAAACAGAGGTGACATTACTACGGATTGGCAGGATAGGCCGTCACACAGCCAAGTGGAAAATAACATTCTGTGTTCAGAGACTCTATTTATTATGGACTGGAAAAATTCTGTTCACTCCTGATAACATGGGCATTGACATTTATCTATATCTGCTTGAACATGACTTCCTGCTCTGGTTCATTCCTGATGGCAGAGCTGAGGTTAAAATGTTGACCTACCTATACAGCTCAGTGTATTCCATACATCATAGCATTTTTACTTTGTTAGAAGAGGTAGAGGACGTTGGTTAACCCTTTGTTACAAAGGCAAAGTATCTTTTTATACCTGATATCAGCATACACTAAATAACTAACTAGATGGCTTACCAAACCCGAAGGTTCATCACTGAATTAACCAAAGCCCTCCACCGGACCCTGTCCTGGGCCAACAAAATCCAGTCTCCTTCAACTCCTATCTCCCATAGATCCCGCCTGAGATTATCCTGCCATCTACGTCTAGGTCTCCTCAGCGGTCTCTTCCCCTCAGGCTTCCCAACGAATACCCGGTGCACACTTCTTGTCCCATCCATGCGCGCTACATGCCCCGCCCATCTCATTCTTCTCGACCTAATTACCCTGACAATATTGGGGGAGGAGTACAGATACAGCATACACACATGTACAATTATGCTAATATGGCTAGCTAGATTCATATGTAAAATATTCTAGGCTCCAAGACTGATTATTACCATTGCAGCCTCCATGGGTCCATTGATCCAGCAATACACATGCAGCATTGCCATAATGACAACTGGCAGGGGAAAACTAAAGTACACGGATAAAAGCCTATGCAAGTGTAACTTTGCACACCACAAATCCCACATGAAATGCCATGCGAATAAGCCTGGACTTTTGCAGTGAGAAGCTGGTGATGAACAGACTCGGCTATGGCAAAGCCACATTTACAAGACATAATGTAAATTTATCATCCTGCGCCGTAGTCGCGCGGTCTGAGGCATCATGCTTTGGACTGGTGCTATGGAATGTGCACTGCGCGGAGTCTCGGGGGAGAAGAAATTTTCTCATGAGCTTTCGACCAGTGTATGGGACCGGTGCCAACTCAGCATCGTGAGAAAATTGGGGAGCTACAATGGGTAACGTAATCTGGTCAGGAAAGCTAGCAATGGCTGGGGGTTCGTCGTGCTGACCACACGTCATCCTATATCTGGTTGGATGATCATTCACCTCTGCTTAGGCATGTGAACGTGAGGCCAGCAGTCAAGCTAGTCGGCTTTGGCTCTCTGGAACTGTTACGCCACGGATTTAATTTAATTTTTTAATGTAAATTATGCTGACATAGCAAAGGAACCACTTAATCCTGACATCTATTGGTCAGTACACAAACTATTAAATTTTTAACTTCTAACTTTCCATGCACTTTCCTTGTACCCCCAGTTCAGGTTACTATCGGTACAAAAACTGCGTTGCTAACACTTTTTAGGTAAAGTATTAACTATTTTTCACTTCTGAGCAGTTTTATTGCAACTGATATGTGTTTCAGTTGTAAAATTATTCTTTGAAGAAGTGGGTTAAAGAAAACCACCACTTTGGGTTACTTTAACACACAATGTATTTTCTTCCTCTAACTTATTTAATATGAAATGAGACAAAGTAAGTCTATGGAATTCAATACATACAACATGCACAGCAAATATGAATATATCATTCAATACGACATATAATGACACTGGTAAGTACAACTGCCACATTAGAATTAAATCACAATTTGAAAACTTTCCTGTGAAAATTATCAGCAGAAACAAAATCATTACCAACTCGTAATTTAATCCTCACATTAAAAACAACAAAAGTTGATAATATAAGAATTTAAATGGAATTTCACTCTTCAATTCAGAAAATTAGGAAAATCCCCTTTTCACTGGTTTTTGTTGATTAATATTTTTACATGTGATGCCACTTATAAAGTAGACTGTCCTCATCTCCATCCCTGGAGGTCATTCTAATTATTCAAATGGTTTGGTTATCAACTGTAGATATGTTTAGGGTTAGATGAAGCTGAGAGGGCAATTATATAATATAGCATGAAAGAGACTGTGGAAGAAGCAAAGACAAGTCTTTTTCAAGATACTAACCTGACATTCTGGAAGCACAAAAAACTTGACAACAACAGCCAGCATACTGGCTGGAACTTACAAATTGTGTATGTCCTGTGTATATGTCAGACTTGTTAACACGCAAGTTGCCCTCTTTTGAATAGAAGTGCTATAGTTTTTCAACATACAGAATTAATACCTTACTCCTCTGCTGCGAGTGCCTGTTACAGGTGAATGGAAGACTTTTGTACACATAAGGCGAGATGGTGACTTCATACTATGAACCTTGAACACACTGCCTTGGAATGCCATTGCAACGGAACCAAATATCATTTCACCGAGGACTGTCACATCTGAGTTTGGTCTCGTATACTGCAACAAACAGCAAATTATAAAGGAAGCTCAAGAAAGTACTCACTCAAGACTTAGAGGAAAACTATCACCTACCATCTCTTTAATACTAAAGTTCTGCTCAGCAGTTAACTTATTGAATGGGTCTTGCCATGCACTTCAATCATGAGTATGTCAGACAGGGTACTTGCAGCAATATTTACTGAGGCCAATACAGGCTGAAAGCAACAAGTTACAGCAGAATTTTAATTCTTCGTTGACTTAATTTTGTTTACTTTACTTTACACAGCTCCTTTTAATTGAGTGAGTTGGGTCATACTTTTTCCAGTGTAATCTACCGTCATCAAAACCCTTTAGAATAGATGGTTTTAGATCAGATAGTAATATTTATGCATGAATGTTTCCAACATTCTAAGTACATATTGCTACTTATGCAATAAGAGGTGACACACATACAGCAGAAATTTAGCCCCACTCATTTGAATATAATTGCAAAATAGGTTCCATATGGAAGAACTAGACAAAATTGTCATTAATTTGTCACTCAATTCATTCTTATGTTGGGGGTAGAGGATTTTTCCTCTAGCCTGTGTCCAGACTGGCTCCGAGACCCACCCAGCCTCCTATCAATGGGTGCTGGGGTCCTTTCCTAGGGGTAAAGCATGGCACTGACCACTAATCCCTACCTAGTGCCAAGGTTAAAAATGAGAAGCAGCTATACTTCCTCTCCCCCCAAGTGCCTACATGGCATATAGCAGGATAGTTTTAACTTTACATTTTTTATTTACTAATTCTTATGTATGGTGTCTTGAGCTAATAGAAATAATTTAAGATGGCAATCTGGTATGAGGATGATGAGACATGTTCTATAAAGAGGACTCAGACCTAAGCATGACACTGTGACATCTTAACCTGCTCCGTATAAATACATGATTATACAGGGTGAGTCAGAAGAATGTTTACAAACTTCATGTGCGTGTTCCAGGATCAAAAATAAGAAAAAATGTTTTTATGAACATGGGGTCGCAAATGTTTCATTTTCGAAATAGTTGTCAACTGTACTCCTAATCAGACCTATTGTTTTCCATTATAATCTTATCATTGCTTGTGTTTCCTTACTGGACAGTTTCTATTTATTAGAGGTAATTTTATATTGTTTTTACTACCTTCCCAAGAGTTCATAAATTTTAAGCCAGAGACAGGTTTTTATTTTGTATATGTGTGTGTTTTGAAATCTGTCTTTAATGAAACTTGGTCAAGTAGGAAACTGTTTGTGTTGTAAACTTTCTGCCAATCCATGAGTGTATCATTTACATACATGCTAGACCCACTTCTACCACCATCAATACTCAGTTTACTTATAATCATTAGCTAGCAACTTCGAATTTCCTTGGGGGATAAAAGAGGTTTTTACATTTTCTTTTAGCTTTTTCCATAGAGCCCAGAAGTATTTTTCAACATAAAAGTTAATGTGACTGAAGATAGCGAAAAAGAGAAATTGACAGTGGAACAAGGGTACATTTTAAAATCAGAGAGAAAAACCAGTGACTAAATTGTAGTAATGGTTTAATGAAACAGAAACTAAGGAAGACTGAAAATAAACACAACAATGAGATTGGGTAGGAGTGGTTTGTAAATGCAAGGGCTAGAAACCTGCAAATATCTGGGGGTAGCTTTAGAGAATATATTTATCATTTGCTATACAAGTAGATCTTATATTCAAGCCTAAATTATGCTTCAGAAGTCCAGTATATTCTTCTCTTCAGTACAATTATTACAGGTTAATGAGAATTGGATTTTATAAATTCATTTAGATATTACTGTCATAAATACCACAGTACTGAAGGATAAATGATTTATAATAAAGTGTAACATAAGTACTTGCTTCTTACCTGGTAACCAAATCCATTTGTTACTTCAACAAATGAATCAGTCTTTTTGTAGTCCAACTTCTGCCGTGACCCAAATTTAAGTTTGCTGCAGGGCCGATTATCCAAAGGTACTTTTTGAACAGCTTTTGAGTCAAATAATAATTTACGACCTCTCCAATCACATTCCCTAAACAAGAGAATCCTTACTTGTTCTTTGCTGAAGTTGAACGGCTTCCAACTATTAGGCAAAACAGAAACATGAGTTACTATTGTTTCAAATGTATCAGGTATGTGAAAATTTCCAGTACAACTGCACTCTCAATATACCACGAATGTTAATTTATTACCTTTCAGTTTCATTTTTACCAAATGCAACATAACCTTGCTTGTGACTTTTCTTTCTCGACGGAAACAACCTGTTCAGTAAAGCCATACTTTCCGTTACCTTCAATATAAATTCTTTAAGAAATTTCGGTTACATCTTCCAGACACCAATTCGTAGAGCAGAAAGTTCTATATTTACTTGCAACTTGGAACGGTAAATAAAAGTCACGTGCTCAACTTTCACAAGTCAAGTCATATGATTATTTGGTCATCTGCTCACTCGAGCCAAAGCGTAAAGCCTATACGTCACAGATGATCTAACCTCCAAATCTAAACGTAGTAATAGTCATTACCGTAAGATGTCGCAGGCATCGTAAAAAGAACATCTTGGCAAACAAGATTATATCTCGAGAGCTCGATAGCAGAAGAGTCTGTATTGTGTTCGATCAGTCGCGTAATTGGAGCAGAAATTACGCGCCCGTTTTAAAACCCGCATGCTCACTAACTTGTACACAGGATACCTACAAGATCTCTTTGTTCAGTTAAAATTCACACCAATTCAATGAAATATCTAAACGGCAAAAACGTTGATTCGGTATTAAAAATAATTAAAAAATTGAAGTTTGTATAAGTTTGTGTCCTAGTAAAATGCTGATTTCCAGTACACTCTCAGTGTTGGATCTGTCCAATCAAGATCCACGTACATAAAAAATGTCAGAACAAAAAAATATAAGTGAAGATAACTGTCTTCTGGGTTGTAGCATCATGCATTTAAGTAGAAGTTTACCAACGTTTCAGGGGTCCTTGCTGCCTCCATCATCAGAGCCTCTATCATCTCCAACGTATATCAGATTATATATCAATTAGTATTTTGTAACTTTTCAATAGCAATTTAAAAGGAGCTAAGTTGGGGTATTAATGGCTCAGCTGTATGTATTGCACATTGCCTAAAACCATTAACTCTACGTACACTAAACAGCTGGCAAAGTAATTCTGCCACCCATTCAAAATACTATGGGTACCTGCAAGCAGCTAACCATTCAAATTTTTTACGAAGTTGACCATAGGCTAGACCCTTCTTGTATTCATTTATGCCCCTGTTCAGTTCTATAATAATTTTGTTCTCACTGTTTCAAGTGTATTAATTTTTGTCTTTCAATTTTTTCTCCCCTTCAAAATTCTACTGTCTTCACAGCTTACATCCTCCATATTATCTCAATTCATTGGGTACTGCAACCCCTGTAATTTAGCATTCTTCCTTCTAATCTAACGCTTGATTCCTCTGCTAGCCCAGAATCTATCAGGCAACAATGAAGACAAATTAAATACAAGCTCATTTTCATCTACTAATATAAGAGTGTAACAACTTCTGGGAGTGTTCCATGTCAATAATACAAAAATTAAGCAAACAATTTTACTCAGTGCGGTATCTACAAAAATCCAGATATGTAACCAGTAAAGCTTCTATATTGGTTTTAGAAATTCCGATAATTTTTTGAATAAATGGGTTATAAGTATATCAAATCTAAAACTTCTTGACGATGGTGAAGAGTCAATTGAATAAAAATTTCCTTAGATATTATCCAACTGTGTAGGAACCTGAAGACGGAGATAGAGTCCCATCTCCGAAACGTCGTTTTACGTTTTATATTTACTAGACGATGGATAATATCCAAGGAAATTTTTATTCAATTGGGTTATAAGTAGTTGCAAATAATTTTGAGAGACCAGACAGTTTTATTGAAGAACAAATATTTAAAGAGGGCTGTCTTCTGGGGTATTGTACCACGTAAAATAATAAATTAAAATGTTTTAGTGACTGAAGTCTTGCATCATATGCATTACCTCAATTTCACTTTTGTCTTTCTGTTTGATTGTTCATATTCAATAAACCCAGTCTTTAATACTTGCTTATTATTTGTAATTTTTAAGTATAAGGATACTTGCATTCCACAGTAGCCCCTTCATAATGTCATTAAATTTTAAAGTTCACACCTTGCTACTCGAAGCATGTATCACCTATTAGGTTTACCCTTTTAAATTAAGTGGTTTCATACAATCAGGATACGTTTTAATGCAACAGACCAACTCGCTGCATACATTAAGTTATGAGAACGTAAACGAACGTCACGGTTGAGTGACCGGAAATCATGTTTCATATTTGGGAAGTCCCTAGTTCAGCCGTCTGCCTTGAGATCTGCTGTCCTGAGTTTCTCGTAATTTTCCTCAGTTCTTGCAAATACTGGCTGCAATAAGAATTTAAAATATACTGCTTCCCAGTTCGTGATTCGTAATAAATTTCCCATTAGACGAATCTGAGGTCACACTTTGAGACAGATGAATTTCGACACATTTCGAGTGAAACATCCAGATAAACTAACCAAAGCATTACTAATGACTTGGTTATGGTCTTCCGGCTTGTGACACCGTGTAGCCTTGTAAGTAGTTAATATGTCTCGATATTCATCTAACACCTGAAGACGGAAGTGATATGTCCCTCTGAAACACTGGTAACCTGCTCAAAAACTACACGGTGTAATCCAAGGAGACTTTCACCGCCGTAAAACATCAGATCTATTACCGATGATTTTTCACGATGACGTAAGAACAATTAGACCACTATATACCCTTTTATCGCTGTGATCTAATATGGACACGACGAGAACCCAACCCAGGTCCGTTAGGTGTGTGGTCTCTAGGCATTACGCAGTCTTGCCATGTTATGTTGAAAGCATCTGCATTCGCTGCAAAGTAGCCTTTTCTCATCGAAGGCGAACTCTGATCCCGGATAGCGTCTGCGTAATTATTTTGCAAGAGAATCATATCAAATTTACTTCGATGCCTCGTAGATAAGGCCCGTTGAATTTTAACGGGTAATAATTTCTTCGTTATCTTCATCCCTTGTACATCAGTTTCCTTTTCTCTCTGCTTTTCTCAAGTTCCACCTGTGCTCTAGAGCAGTGGTATTCAAACTTTTTTGTTCGCGTACCCCCAGATATAATTTCTCTTCAACTTTGTACTCCCAAAGTTGATGGTGTATAATTTAAGTTATATATAATATATATTCTACATCTAAAATAAATTAAATAAATTACATTACTGATTATTCAGTGTTTATCGTAAAATAATATATATATTTTTTTAAATTTCACGTACCCCCTAAGATAGCTTCGCGTACCCCAGGTTGAATACCACTGCTTTAGTAAACCATTCCCGCCCGCGTCAAACTTAAAAAAAAAAAAGAAAAAAAAGAAAAAAGTGTGAGATGTGTTATGTATCACGTTATTTCAACGTGACGTATATTACAAGTATGTTATTTAGCGTCATTAATCAGAACTTTTGAATATCTCCGAGTGCAAGAAAACACGAAATTGACATTTTTATTCGTATAGAACAGACATTGATCCGAGAAACAACGAACGTGTGGCATGTCACTGATCACAATTTGATAACAACAACCCAGAGTAGCGGTTATAAATTTTAGATATCAGTTGTCTTCACGAGCCACACAAACTGTTAAAAGCACAGGTAACATATTGGTATTGACTACGATGTCAAACTAGCTCTCATTTAAATTATCAAGTACCTTTCTTTTCATGGCCCATCTTGAATGCAGACAGCATCTACATATTTCTTTTACAACCACACCTAAATGTTACTTAAAACTGAACGCGGTTAAGATGATTTTTTTAGAACCGCGTACAAACGCGCAGTGTCAAATATCTGAAACATTCTTTTGATACATACTCGGACCTTCACGAAAAAAAGTATACCATGTTAAATATTAACAGAACTACATATTGTTCCATATATGAACCATACGAACTATAGATGTGGAATTTAACCACATTGTTTCATTGACAGCGATGATTCTTAAGGAACTACACACGAATATAAATCCCATAATGAACATACACCGTTATTGTTTTGCGTTCTCTGACCACTTCTTGAATTTCTTGACGTATGGTAGTTGATAATAGTGGTAGTAATAGTAACAATAACGTACGTATTCCCACCTTTAATTTGGAACACCGTCACAAAAATTGGCTACATAAGTTATGTATTCGCTGTGTTCATAGTTAACCAATTTTATTCAAGAATTTGATGACATTTCATTATCGAAGCAGAAAGCTCAATTATCTACTGACAAAATTAAGATAAGAAGGGTCTTAATTAAAACTGAAGTACTGAACGCAATGCAGGCCTACAAGGGATTATTTGAAAGTAACGTACCCAGAGAAAATATACAGCATCACGTAACCTTAAATGGGATAGGTTTACAGTTACATCATTCCTAAACTTTCGTTTCCAATTCCTACAAAATATATCCATGTGGAAATAATACACACAGAGCAACGAGTTATGTAATAATAATAATAATAATAATAAGAACAAAGATGTAGGTCTGCACAAAGAACTTATATAAACTGTGTGCTCATCTTTCCCCCACTCAATAGTAATGGGGTATGACATTGACTTAAACTCGTCCAATAGCGTTAAAGGTTAAACAGCAACCAACGAACATCTTCCTAACCTCAGTTTGTGTTGTAACGAACGAGATAATCTCCACCCATGTCTCGACATTTAAGAAAGTTGGCTGTAATTATGGCAACGTCATCTTAAAAAAAAGTCTCTTAAAGGTCTGTTGTATTTTTGGCCTTCAACGTTTCCTTCGCAGGTGAAAGTGTGTAGAGGTCACGATGTTCTGTATAAAGACTGGAGCGTCTTCAGTCACGATTTAGTTGGTCTACAGACGTGTAGGTAGAGCCAGTTGCTGCGACTAGACTCAAAAATTTCTCAAAAGAGGGCTCTGAAATCCAGTCCTATTCCTGTATCTTTAAGTTTAAACTTACTTCCTTCATACGAATTCAGATAATTCATTAATCCCATGTCTTCAACAAATTAAAAACAAAAAGTTTTGAAAAACAATGCAGATGTATACCCCCACTTATTTATATCAGCCTTGTTAGTGGCGCTGAAAGTAGGCTGTATATAATTTAATTAGTTAAATTTAAGAGAGAAGTTGTCATAATTGTTTTACAGTCTTCAGTGCTGTAATGTTTAATCCACATAACAAGAGACATAACCAAGAATTTCTTCTCCCATAGGAAGAATGATCCATGATAGTAGTTAATTCATTAAAATGGCCACAGTTTCCTTAAGGCTTAAAAATAGGAACAGCTATTATAAATTTTAGCGCGCAAGATATTTGAAAGAATATCCACAACACAAATTCTAAACCCTCTGTCCTTGTGCAGGCATTAATAAAGTAAGCAATAAGAGA